TCTCAGAGAGTTCCCAGGGCGGGGCAAACAGCAATGGTGTCATCAGTGACCCTGGGACTCTGACTCCGAGATTCTCCGAGTGCGAGTGTGGGGTGCCCCCACAGCCCTGCGAGCATCTCTGTGAGAAAGTCACCTTTGCTTTCTGACCCGCTGCAAAACAGTCCCGTTTCTCCCCGTAGGAGCCTGGGACCCCAGCGTCTCGCTGTAAATGATGAGTTCAGTGCGTTGGGGAGCTTGTCCCCTTCCGATTGAAAAAAACACGCACCCAGGTGCAGCAGCCTTGCGCGAGCCCCCTACCTCTGTTCTTGGCGCCTCTCCCTTCCTACTCGGTTTCAGTGCGCTTTTTTCTTTCCTTCTAGTTGTAGAACTTCCACTTGATCAGCTTTCCCGTGGTTCTGGATGATAGCTGTTTTGTCTTATAGTTGTGGTTTTAATGTTGTTGTGGGGGGCAGCATGTACAGGTTTGTACCTTATACCGCCATCTTCCTTCTCCTCTAATGACACTACTTTGAATAATATGCTAAATTAATTTCAAATTTTGGAAGCAATAAATGATTTTCTAGGAAATTATATATTTTACAGATAGAAAACCTAGTTTATACCAAATAATAAGGAATAATATGGAGACACATGTCAAAGGCATACAAGTCCACCTTGTGTCATAAGTGAATTCTTCTAAATTTTTAAGGATTACATAATTCCTAATCTATTGAAAGAATTGTAGACCAGAGAGGAAAAAAGTAAAGCCAAAATTTTCACATTTAGGTTTTTTGTTTGTTTGTTTATTTGTTTTTTAAAATATATTTTATTGACTTTTTACAGGGAGGAAGGGAGAGAGATAAAAGCTAGAAACATCTATGAGAGAGAAACATTGATCAGCCGCTTCCTGCACACCTCCCACTGAGTATGCGCCCGCAACCAAGGCACATGCCCCTGACTGGAATCGAACCCAGGACCCCCCAGTCCGCAGGCCGACGCTCTATCCACTGAGCCAAACTGGCCAGGGGCATAGGTTTTTTTTTTAAAAGTTTAATCATTTTAAGACTGTGGTTAAAATTTTATAAGTATCATGTTTTTAAAGTAATATACCATTACTAAATAGAATTCATTACAGGGATCAAAGGATGGTTTGATGTTTAAGAACTCTATTACTAGAATTATTAATCTTAATAGACCAAAGAGAAAAATTAGGATCTCTTAGTTTTTTGCCCGGACATGCACAAAATAAAATAACACCTATTTGTGATTTTTGAAACTATGAAACTCAAAGACAAAACTCCTAGAGGAGTGGAACTAACTGAATAGTTTCTTAATATAACAAAGATATTGCAGGGTGTTAGCCAGTATCATCCTTAATGATAAAACACTAGATGTTGTCCTGTTAAAGTTAGGAGTATGACTTAATAAATGCCATCCCACTTAAAATCTTAATTTATTTTGATAAATGGTTCTAAAGATTTATTTGGAAGAATAATATGAGAATAGTCCAGAAATTTTTAAATAAGGAAAAAAAATTGAGGGCTGCACTAACCTTATTGGAATTTAAATATTATAAATCTAAAGTAATTTAAAAAGAGGTCTAGGGTTCACTATACAAAACTGTGTAACATAGGGAGCCAGAAATCCTATCTAATAAAGAGGGAATATGCTAATTGACTGCCATGTCCTCAAAGATGGCGGCGCCCAGTCCTCTAAGCCCCACCTGGGTGGCAGGCATGCGGCAAGGCCGGAGTCCCCCCAGTCCCCTCAGCTCCCCAGCTGCCCAGGGCCAGCCTGAGGTGCAGGCAAGCCTCAGATGGCGGCTGCCCAGCCTCCCAGGGCTGCCTGAGGCTCAGGTAACCAGGGCCGGCTGAGGCTTTGTACTGCCAGCAGTGGCAGCAGCAGAGGTGTGATGGGGCATCGCCTTACCATGATCGCTGGCTCAACTCCTGCCCCTGAGGGCTCCTGGACTGTGAGAGGGGGCAGTCCGGGCTGAGGGACCCCCCTCCAGTGCATGAATTTTCATGCACCAGGCCTCTAATGTATGTAAATAAAAGCCTAAGCAACCAGCCGACCGGCCAGTAGCTGTGATGTGCAATGACCACCAGAGGGCAGACACTCAACGCACAGGCATGGAAACATGGAACAGACAGATGAATCGAAGAGGGAAGAGGGAAGGGAGGAGGGTGGGAAGATATTAACCAAAAATCTTATATGCATACTAGAGAGAGGCATGGTGCACCGGTGGGGTCCCTCGGCCTGGCCTGCGGGGATCAGGCCAAAACTGGCTCTCCAACATCCCCCAAGGGATCCTGGATTGCAAGAGGGTGCAGGCCAGGCTGAGGGACCTCTGGTAATACTTATAAGTGTGAGTGGTTTTTCAAGTTACTGGAGAAACCAGCACTCTCATATTGACAGTGGGAGAATAAATTTTAGTAACTGTTTTGAAAGGCAATTCGATAGCTGTTACATTTAAAATATAAGAATACTTTGGTCTAGCCTTTAGGAATTGGTACCAAATATTTCTTTAATGACACATTTTGTCTAATTCACAAATTGTGATGATAAATCAGACTTCTCGATATTGTTTCATTAGGAATCATTTTTGTAAATTGTATGTCACAGCCCCTTCCCTCCTTTCTCCTGCTTTCAAGAGCTTGTGGCCCCTAAAATTGGTATAGCTTGAAGAGATAATTAGTGATAAAGTGAGTTTTTTAGATGGTACAACCAAGGTCAGTTGTAGAGAAATAACTGCAAATGTTGCCTTTGAGCCATTTTTTCTCCCCCTTTTCAAACTTCTTTTCATGCTTCCTGGGATGGAATTTTTGGCATGCAAACTTAAAATTTTGTTATGTCTAATACAGTAAAAAGATAGTATCCTTTAGGTTTGGAATAAAAAAACCTGGTTTCTAGTGCCAGTTCTTCCAATGACAAGCTCTGAGATTTGGGGAGAAGCAAAATTACCCTTATAAACTTTGTTTCAGAGCCAAGCATTTTAACCTGTTTAGTACCTGTCTTTCTACTTCAGTTCTTCCAGTTCATTTCTTAACCCATTGCAAACTAGATTTTACCCTGCCACATCTCTACTCAAGCAGCAAATACCTCCTAACTTCAAAATACAGAGTACATTTTCCTCCCTTTTTTATTTGGCCCTGCTGTTTCTCCCTTTTTAAAAATTACTAATTTTCTGAGTAAATTGGTAATGAATACAGACTTGTGTAACGAAAACATAGAAGTGTTCCTTAATTTCAGCACCCAGAAAAAAACACTGGCATATTCACTGCCATTTATATGTACACTAGAGGCCCAATGCACGAAATTCGTGCAAGAGTAGTCCTTCCTTCCCCCAGCTGCTGGCACCAGCTTCCTTCTGGCACCCGGGACCCGGGCTTCCCTCACGGCCCCGGCTTCATCCAGAAGGACATCTGGAAGGATGTCCAGTCTAATGAGCATATTATGCTTTTATTATAGATATCTAATAAAGTTGGGATTATATTTGTACACTGCTTTGTATCCTGTTTTTTTGTTTTAATAGCATTAATATTGTAATCAGTGAATTTTAAAGGCTGTGTAGTTTTCTTATTATATGGTTTTTCCACAGTTCATTTTATCGGTTTTTGTTTTTGTGGTAATTTTAGTTTGCTTCTCTTTTTTGTACTTTTCCCCTGCCTTTTTCTTAGGTTTCTTTTCACACCTGCCCTTTAGGTTGTGGTGCTCTCCTGATTTTCCTTTCATGGCCCCTCAGTCTCCCACAGGTACCTGAAACAGATGTAACAAGGATAAATAAACTACATGTTTCCCTTAGGGGTGTCAAGTGGGCAGAAAAGGGTGGTAGATAAGGGCAATAATCCTAATGAAATCCTGTGCAGCCTGCAAGCCTGTGTGCCTTCCTTCCTTAACTCTCCAGCCCTCCTTTTCCTCGTAGTTCCCTTCATGTAAACCTGCTTTCTTATCTTCTTTACTCTTAAATTTACACACGAATGATACCCCTTAGTGGAAGAAAAAGGAACTTCTTCCAGTGCTGATCAATCACAGCCAAAATTACTGTATTTTCTTGTGCATGTAAACAAATTATCATTGTTATACATTACTGAACCACCGATAGGTGCTTTTCTGAATTCTAGTAAATATGAACTTTACTTCTGATTTATTGTCACTTCCAAGGTACCTTAATCTTCCTTTGAATGTTTTAGGGAAAAGAAAACAGACTAAATATGCTTCCTTTCTACAGGAATTTATATTTTGAGAAATTGAGATAAGGATACTTAGTGCTTATTTTACTTTAAGATTATAATGTCTGTATAATAGACATCTACTCCAGCTTTGGAGTTATAATTTAATCTTGTAACATAAAATTCACTTTTGTAGTCTGATATGTAATTGCTATAACCAATCTAGAAATGCTTATTGAATGACTAGAATGTCAGTGTAGATCCTTGAAAGCCTAACTGCTTTAAAAAAAACAAAACAAGCAAACAAATTGTTGTTGTAAAGGAAAGAGTATAACCACATTAAATACAATCTGGAAAATAAGAGGCAAAAGTCCTACTCTTAATCTCACTTAACAAAATTGCTCATAGAATTTTCATATATTTGGTTGTTTTCAAATTTGTGTTTATGTGGTTTAAATGTACCCTGCTTTTTTCCCACTGAATATGTCATTTTATGACTATTATTTAAAATGGCTGCATACTAATCTGTTAGTTGCATGACCCTGTTGTATGCACAATGTTAATATAGAAGAGAGTTTCTAAAAATACATATATGACTCTTAAGAAAAAATAGTTATTCTAATAAAATAAAATTGTTTAGCACATGGGTTTTAATAAGTAGGCAAATGATAACCTTCTTATTTAAGGTCAGTGCCTTTTTGTTTTCAAACATATGAACCTGAAACTTGAGGAAGTTGGTCGTCAGGTGAGAATAATATGTCAGCTGTGTATTTTGGAGAAGTTATCAACAGAAGTTAGTTGCTTATTCAAAGAATTATTGTCATAAATCTTATGTTACATTGTGTTCTTTTATAGATTATGGAGCTTTGTGGTGCAACAAGACTTGGTTATTTTGGAAGAAGTCAGTTCTATATTGCTTTGAAACTTGTAGCTGTTGCCCAGTCTGGCTTCCCTTTAAGAGTGGAAAGTATTAATACAGGTAAATATGCGACACATTAGTAATTGAAATGAAAATAAACTTCAAGTCACAAATGAAGTTGAGTCTTTCTGATATTACAGTGGCATTTGTGACCTTGAGAAAAATGTCATGACTTTATTCTCACCACCTTGCTATTAAAATTTGTGAATATTAGAACACATTTATATCTATTTTAAGTGTTATGGCATATATGTACTTCCTGCATATTTGATTATATAAATATGTTAAAATGGTGATTGTTATAGCATAAATTTACTAAGACTTGTTTAGAATTTAGGTAAGTAATCTTATCAAAGTAAAGGGTGCATTGCAGTGACCCTGATATATGCGTTCTTTATATATTTTTCTAAGTATAAAGCAACATTATACTTTCTTTTCTTGTTTGTGAAAACTGAACGCTCCATATAAAATTAGAAAGCATTAGTTAACTAAAACTTTCTGGTTGATAGAGATACTATTAATATATTGGCAGATTAAAACCTAGTTATAGGCATCTGACTGCCTTATGCGTATCACCTAGGAACATTTGTTTTTCTATTATTTGGAGGTGTGTTGATAATGAAGTAGATAGAAATTTTATAAGGTAGGCACTTAAATGCAGAGAGTTTTGTGATTTTCATAGGGAAAAGAGGAAAGAGAGAACTGCATTTTCTGTAACGTTAGGATTTTTATCCAGTAGTATTAGTACCAGCTGAGTTTGAAGTGCTCAGTGTTTAATGCCAGCTTCTTTGGAGGTTTTCATTGTGGACCCTTAGTGTGACGTACATCCTTCTCGTGTTGAGAGTTTACGTTCTTTTCAGGTAATTTTGAGTACTTTGCATAAACACTGAATAAACTTCATTTCCTCCTTAGTGTGGAAATTCTAGGGAAGATTCAGGGAATTATAGTGGAAGGAAGTACATTTTCTTCTGAAAATGATTCTGCTATGTTATTCTGGTTTAGACTGACCTATGGAATTCTTAGTTTTTTATTTTTCTTCTTTATTTAAAACAGAATGTAGAGCAGGGGTCCTCAGACTACGGCCCGCGGGCCACATGCGGCCCGCCGAAAACATTTATCTGGCCCACTGGGTGTTTTTGCCGCCGCTGTGTGCATAGGAATTCGTTCATAGTTGTTTTTTTTAAACTATAGTCCAGCCCTCCAACGGTCTGAGGGACAGTGAACTGGCCCCCTGTTTAAAAAGTTTGAGGACCCCTGATGTAGAGTATCTGCCTATAGGAGTGAAGTAAGCCAGACTAAAGTTGGTAGATTGAGCTGCTTGTACTGTGTCTTTGGTAGGTGAACAGTAAGATATTTTCAGGAATTTCTGCCATGAAAATGTTTGGATTAATCTAGTCTCAAACTTAGTGACATATTCTGTGTTTTACTTAGAACTCGAGCATCTTACTTTAGAGAATTAGTGTGAGTAGAAACAGCATAGGCTTTGGGGTCAGACCGATCTGGGTTTAGATTTTGTCACTGTCAATGAGCTTCCGTTTGCTTACCTGTAAAATAGGGACTTTGCAGGGTTGATATGGTTATGAGTGCAAACATAGGACCAGACATGCAATGGACATTTAATATAGCTATTTTTATAACCCCTTGGAAGGACAATTTGGTATTACTGTTTCTTTCTAGGTTAGGGTCTCACTAAACAATTTAAGGAAGAGGATAAATTAAATTTCGTAGTGATAGACATTTTGTTTCTGTTGTTTCTGTATCAGTTTTGCAAAAATTCTTGCTAATATCTAATTCACCTCTTCAGGTTTTAATGTGTGCATCTTTTTTTATTTTAAAGTAATAATTATTTTTGCCATTAATAGTAAAGGACCTTCCTCTGCCAAGATTTGTTGCTTCAAAGAATGAACAAGAATCTCGCCATGCAGCCTCATATTCTTCAGATTCTGAAAATCAAGGGTCTTATTCTGGTGTTATTCCTCCACCACCTGGAAGGGGGCAAGTGAAAAAGGGGTCTGTAAGCCATGATACTGTCCAGTCTCGTACATCTACAGATCAACAGGTAGTCACGTGCATGTCAGTATTATCAGTTAACATCCTGTGTAGATGTTTTCACTAAAACTTTTATTGAATGCCTTAACAGTGAAAATGCTATCTTAAAATTAAAATTTAAAAATAATGATATTCTTTCTAGGAACCTGCATCTCCAGTAGTTTCACCACAGCAGTCCCCACCAACGTCTCCACACACATGGAGGAAACACAACCGTCACCCCAGTGGAGGAAATGGTGAGAGGCCTCTTGCAGGACCTGGGCCATTTTGGTCTCCCTTTGGTGACGCACAATCAGGTATTTAGAAGTTCTAAATGTAACGGTCATTTATTAAAGGTGTAAATTGAAGGAAACTTGATAACATTCCTTTAAGAGTTGCCTCCAAGAAAATTTTTAATTATAAGTGCCTTAAATGAAAGCAAATGCCAACTGTGAAAATTTGTAAGTAGATGTATCACTTTGAACATTGGTAATTGCATTTATTTATATCTATGATGCTTAGATAAAAGTTTATAGATACCAGATTCTCTGAAGGTGAAATGAATAAGTGATTATTTCCTAGAATATTATATATATATATTAGATTAGTTTCAGTAACAATTTAAAAGATTTAAATGAGATAATTTTAAATTGACAGAAAATATTTCATTTTGGAAATTAACATTTCTACAAAGTTAGAACTTGAAAGAAAACTTACATAATATGTGTATGGTGAATTGTTACAATAAAAAACCTGATAACTTTATTATTCTTTAAAAATGAGTGAGCATGTTTGCCCGTTCTGCTTGTAGGTTCTGCTGCTGGTGATGCGATGTGGTCAGGGCATTCTCCACCTCCACCTCAAGAAAACTGGGTCAGTTTTGCAGATACTCCACCAACCAGTACTCTTTTAACCATGCATCCTGCTTCTGTCCAGGTGTGACATTTTATTGGTATTGCATTTTTATTTGCTTCATTCAAAATACTGCTGCAGTCATTATTTTATATTTTGCTGTTGCAAATTTTATGAATGCAAATTCACTTTTATTTAAAAACCACAAAACAAACAAAAACCAGAACTCTACTCTATGCCTTTTCTGTAAGTCTGTTATCATTGAAATGTTTCACTGAAAGTTTTGACTGATTTTTTTTCTAATTTCTTAGTGAACTTTTGAAAGGTTTCAGCATCTAGGAATATATTTGCTTGGCTTTCTTGGCACATTTTCATAACTTTCTGTTGCTTACACATTGCTGTCATTCTATACATTTATATAATTATTGTCCAAAAACATTCAGTAACCTAATTATAAGTATGTGGTTTGTGAAGACTTCTTATATTTTAAACATCCACAAAAAGTAAGTTTTACTTTCAAAGATAAATAACCTAGCAATCTTGGTCCATGTAATCATATAGATAGATACTGTACTGAGGAAAAAATGTTTCATTACAGGACCAGACAACAGTACGAACTGTAGCTTCAGCTACAACTGCCAATGAAATTCGTAGGCAATCCAGTAGCTATGATGATCCCTGGAAAATAACAGATGAACAAAGACAGTATTATGTAAATCAGTTTAAAACCATTCAGCCTGATCTAAACGGATTTATTCCAGGTGAGTTGTTAAAAAACAAATTTTTCTAGATGGGACAGTTCAAAGTCTCAGTTTCATAATCTCAAAGACATGGTTTTATTGGTCAGAGATTATAAAAGATTAGAGGCCCGGTGCACGAATTCGTGCACAGGTGGGGTCCCTTCGGGTAGCCTGTGGGGATCGGGCCAAACCCGCAATCCAACACCGCCTGCAGCTCCTACCTGCTCCCGTTCATCCTAGCCCCACTGTACCTGCTGCAGGCTCATGCCCAGTTAGTCCTGACCATGAGCCCTGCCTCTGGTGCCCTCCCAAGGGGAGTGGCCTGCAGGATCATGCTGAAACTGGCTCTTCAACATCCCCTGAGGGGTCCCAGATTGTGAAAGGGCATAGGCCAGGCCAAGGGACCCCACCAGTGCATGATCAGGGCCAGGGAGGGGCTGCGGAGGGACCGCTGGAGGGCCCCAGGGCATGTCTGGCCCTGTCTTGCCCAGTCCCGATTGGGGCTGATTGGGGCCAGTAAGGGCCAGCCAGCTGAGGAGGGATGCAGGAGGTTGGCCAGAAGGGGAGGGACCGCGGGAGGGCTCCAGGGCATGTCTGGCCCATCTTGCTCAGTCCCAATTGGCTAGACCCCAGCAGCAAGCTAATCTACCGGTCAGAGTGTCTGGCCCCTGGTCGTCAGTGCACATCATAGCAAGCAGTTGAGCAGCCTTAGCATATCATTAGCATATTACGCTTTGATTGGTTGAACAGTCGACTTGTCACTAGATGACCGGACACTTAGCATATTAGGCTTTTATTATATAAGATAATTAATTCTCAGATTGTCTAAAAAGAGTTTATAATTACTAGAGACCAAAAACATGACATATACACATGTTAAGGTTACCTTTTTTTTCAATGCAAAAGGTCTTAAGACCACATTTGTTTCTTGGGTCTGTAGGTTCAGAATAATGCTAAACAACACTATTTTAATATTTCAGGATCTGCAGCTAAAGAGTTTTTTACAAAATCAAAGCTTCCTATTCTTGAACTTTCTCATATTTGGTAAGTGTGGTGTATATTAGTTGGGTAATGTGGGTTATTTCAAAGGAGTTTCCAGCAGGTAGATTTTTTTAACCTTAAAAATAAACTATTAGAATAACCTTTTAAAGAATGTTCTTATAACTCCGTATTGTCTTAAAATAGTCAGCTTCTCTCTCACTCTCTAGAGAAGAAATAAAGTGGTACAAGTAGAGTTCTTCAAAAAGTGCTAAAAGTCTTTAAGCTATAGTAGCTGTTTCTTATTGCTAGTATAATGCATGGAATAAAAGCTAGTTTGCTCATACATGGTTGTATTTATTCCATTTGGTTTTAAACAAATTTAGTAAGCCCTATACCTGCCATGAGCTTAAGAACAGTGCTTACATGCATATAAGCATAACCAGTGGACACAAGACACTGAGGGGTAGGGGAGGCCAGGGGATTGTCAAGGGCAGGGAAAAAAAGGAGACATATGTAATACTCTTTGTAATACTTTAAGCAATAAAACAAAATTTTTTAAAAAAAGAACAGTGCTTAGCACCCATTTAAATACCAACTGAAGACTCAGGATGGTTGCTGTGTGGTTGGAATCAGTCATTAAATTATAATCACAAATTACTTTTAAAAAACAATTGTCAGATAAACATGTGTTGTTTACACTTTATATCTACATATTTCTCTATATTCAAAATTTTATTAATAAGGTTTTTAGTAGCATAGAATGCTATAGTAGGAGATAGGTAGATAATGCCTGAAACCAAAATGTTAAGAACTAGCAATATATACATGCTATTTATAGTTTAAGGTGATAAATTAAAAAAATGGTTGTTCCTGCATCCAGGAAATGGAAGGATAGCAGGGTGGGGCTGCTGTCTTTTTGTATCAAGCCTTGTAATTGTATTGGATTCTTTAAAATACATACAGACTTTTAATAACAATAAAAACAAAGTTTTAAAAATTTTTAGTGACTTATTAAAAAAAGCTTGATTTCAACTAAGTCCTGCACCTAAAGATACATATGGTTAAAGGCCATTTCTTTGGTGACCTTATTTTGGGGGGGCTCTTTTTTCAGCATTTTATTATGAAAATTTCAAGCTCTTAGACAAGTTGAAAGAATTGTGCCTTAAACCACTCACATGGCCATTGCCTGTAATCTACAGATAACCGTTTGCTATATTCACTTTGTTACACATCTTCCCATCTATGGAATTTTTTAAATTATTGATTGCTTGCACTTTTTCTGAAAAAGGATTTCTCTTTTTCTTTTTTTCTGAGACATAAAGGGATCCAAAGTAGAATAGGATCCATTTCTGATGTTTTTCTTTTAGGGAACTCTCAGACTTTGATAAAGATGGAGCATTAACACTGGATGAGTTTTGTGCTGCTTTTCATCTGGTAGTTGCTAGGAAGAATGGCTATGACTTACCAGAAAAACTCCCTGAAAGCTTAATGCCCAAGCTGATTGATTTGGAAGACTCAGCAGGTAAGATCCAGGAGCTTGAAGAGACCTGATTGCATGCCTTGACAAATAACACTTGGTTCTCAAAGCACAATCTAGATGTGAAAACTTAGCTTAAAAGCATAAGCATTTCATCAAGGGCATGTACATTTGCCATTAGAATAAGATGTACAGCCTGAACTGGATCAATATTTTGTCTGTTTAGTCAACTGTAAACAAAGATAAAGAATATATGCCACTATTTTATTTTACACTTGTGACCTGCTGAGATTTGAAGAGCATTTCACAGTGTCTTGCTATTTTGTCATCCTTTAATTACATTTTGTATTATCTGAAGTGGGAAAAGTAGCCTGTCTTCATTATCAACATTTTTCCATTTAATGCATCTTAATTTGTTGAAGGGAAATACCTGGTTTATCATTAGACCTTTGCAGTCTGCAAGCATTTTCCTTTTAAAAAGCCAATTTCTTCAGATGCTAAAGAAATCTGGAAATTTTGTGTTTGATGTTGATAATACTACATTGTTGTCATGTTTACAAGAATGCTTTTATAAATGCTCATATTTACAATTAGTTTTATTTTAAAAGAAATAGAATATAGGGGGTAAAAAATGAGTACTTTCTTTAAAATTCTGAATGAATAAAAGGAAATCTAATGTTAAATTAATGAGTCTAAAACTAAATTACTGTCTTTGGTTTTTCTATCTAAATTCTTTTTTAGATATTATGATGGAAGGAATTTTATACTTTTTAAAAGAGAAGTTAAAACAGAATTTGGCTCTCAAAAGAGTATTCATCTATTGGGCAGCTTCTGTTTAACCCAGAATTGCATATGATCTGACTTTATTGTGTAAATTATTCCGTAGGAATCATATGCATATTATTATTGTCAAAAAGAGGACTGTCTCCTTAGATTCAAGAATCTGTGTGCTTCTAGTTTTGCTAATTATTCCTGTGACTTTGGGCAAGTTCTTTTTGTTTTTCTACCTGAAATGTGTATTTGATGCTATTCACATTTCAGGACCTGAACACACTGACCTTTTATCAACCAATAAGTCTATTTAAAATTGTAGGGTTGGTTTTTGTTTTTTATAGAACCATTATCCTGTGAGAATCCTAGAGTTTTCCTTATCATTTTAGGCAGTTATTAGGTATCAGTTAACCTCTAAAAGAACTTCATTTGGTTTATTTCATAGTAGCCAAAAGGGAAGAAATTGTGGTAGCCACATATTTACTGTGCCATTGATTTTAAAATTAGGCCTTGTGTCTAGAGTTTTTCTATGACTTTAATCCTTTAAAAACTGACAGCATAGTATAATTTAAATCAAGCTTATTCTGTTGTATGTCATTTTCTTGAGACTTGTCTGATTCTGTTATCTGTTGCATATAGATGGGTGAATCTGGCTTTTGCATGTAGTCTTTTTTTCCTCTCTTTTATTTAATTTAAAGAAAATCTGGGATTCTTTGTAAACTTGATCTACTGCCTGAATTTTAAGGCTAATGATTTAAGTAGAAGTTCTTTTCTGGGCATTTTTCTTTTTACTCCTGTTAGATCTGTTTAGCACAGAGTCACTCTTATTTTTCTCCCTGCATATACCTCTATACTATTGTTCTAATTATAATTTTAAAGGTATCAAATGCTCATAGTTGTGTTTTGTTTTTTTTACCATTTGCACATAATCTATGTAATTTTCTGATGAAATTTATTGTAAACATTTGATGACCACACAGTATTAACTTCAAATCTTCTTTGCCTAACCACTAAGTGATAAATTTGGAATTTTGTTAATTTGGGGTTGGGGGAATGATTAACCTTTTTTTTTCTCCCAGCTATCATAAGCCGGAGATTCATATGCCACAAGTCCTTTGAATATAGAAATTGTCATGTGACACTGTGGATCAATCAAGATCTGTAAAAATCCTTTTAAGTAGCTGTGTTTTTAGAAGTTCACAGTTGAAGGGGAAACCACCCAAGCAGTTCCTTTTGGCTGACCTAAAAATTGATCATAAATATTTCCTCTATGGAGCTTTTCTGACTTTCAGACAAAAGTAGTTACTATCTTCTCTGATCTCTCATAGTATCTCCTACGTGCTGTTTATTGTGGCACCTATCACACTGTTCTTTGTTTTTCTTTCTCTTTCCACCACTACATTCTGAGTTAATTTAAAAAAAAGGAAAATGTGTCATATTCACTGTAGTATCCCCAGGACCTAGCACTTTGCAGGCATGTGCTCAGTTGCTCAGTAAATAACTGCTGAGTGAATTAATGCTAAATGTGTGCCATTTTTAAAGTAGGATATTTTTCTTAACATATTTCTGTCTTTGAAAATATAGTCTTTTGTTATATGTTTGTAATGTTGGGACATACTAAAATATTCACTCTATAAGTATTTTATATTTACAATTTAATAACTCATAGAAAAATAGATGGTGAAAGTGATTACTTGAGTTACAGTTTGGAGAAACGAGCTAGGCTTTCTAAAAACATACAAACATGGGTGGGATAGATACATATTTTTTCCAAAATTATTTGAACAAGTTTATGTTATTAAATAGATAAAATAAAATTGCTAAGGGTCATTGGTATAAGTACGTACACAGACCTGAATTAAAATACTTATATTTAACATCAGCACTAAATATGGCAACTAAAGTAAATAAAAGGGGAAACTTGATTTTTGTTGTCTTACAAAAGAAAGCATATAAAAGTTCATCTGTGGAAACAGTTTTCTGAACCTGAATTCAAGAAAGAATGTTTATCTTCCAAGAATGGTTATCTTCTTTAAAATAAAAAAGGGTTAAGGTAACCTGCTAGGCTACCACAATAGTGTATCATAAAGGGAAAAAAAGCATGTTAAGATACTTTGCATCTTAATCTCAGTCTCCAAAGAATCTTTGTTTTAGCACAGTTGCAGTTTTACATACACTGTATTTTATGTGATTACTAGAGGCCCGGTGCACGCATTCATACACCCATGGGGTCCCTCGGCCTGGCCTGCGCCCTGTCGCAGTCCAGGACCCCTTGGGGGATGTTGGACTGCCAGTTTCGGCCTGATCCCCTCAGGCCAGGCTGAAGGACCCCACCAATGCATGAACCCTTCTGAGATTCATCAGTCTGTTCCATGTTTCCATGCCTGGGTATTGGCCATCTGTCTCCTGGTGGTCAGTGCATGTCATAGCTAATGGTCAAATGGTAGAATGGTTGCTTAGGCTTTTATATATATAAATTTGATAGACTAGTGCCCCGGTGCACAGATTATGCACATTGAAAGGAAATTAATTGAAAGGTGGCCAGCAGGGTGGGACTGGGCGAGACAGGCCAGACATGCCCTGGAGCCAACCTCCCTTGGTCCCTCCCCAGCCAGCCACACCTGGAGCAGCACTGTGGCTCGAAGGGCATCTGCGGAGGGAGCAGGGTCCCTCGAGTAGGTAGGGTCCCTTGGCCTGGCTTGCGGGGATTGGGCTGAAACTGGCTCCCTGACATCCCCAGAGGAGTCCCGGATTGTGAGAGGGAGGTTCTCGGGTGACCCATCCCAGAATCGGGCTTCCTCCTCTCTGGTTCTGGGGTGCGTCACCCGAGAACTGCCGCTGTCAAGTCACCACAGCTTGGCAGCTCCTGCATTGAGCATCTGCCCGCTGGTTGTCAGTGCATGTTATAG